TGACCCTGAAGCGCGACACAATGAGCTCGCTAACGTCCGTGTTTTCCTTTGGTTCTTTTTAAGAGCTGCATTTCTGTGTGTGTGTGTGTGTTTTTTTAATACGTAGGTGGGAACAGAAAAATAATCGCTAAAAGGGAGAATCATTCTGATTATAGATGTTGGTCTGGATGACTAAACTTGGCCAACTTCTGGAATCACTTTAAAGCCTTCATTTAGGTTCTGATCACTGGTGAGCGCCGGCCGGCCGGCCTTCGTGGCTCTAATCTGCGGTAATGAGGTCAGTAATAAGGTTGCACTCTGACTGCTCAGTGTGAGGCCTGCTGCTGCCCGGCCATTGAAGGCCTGGCCCATACAGCAATTTTGCAGCCCGCTGCGATGCGAATGCTGCCGGCTCACGCTGAGAGCAAAGCCCTGCAGGAGCCCTCTGCTATTCGCTCGCCTTTTAAAATAAAAAATACTACTCCAACCGGCCGCGTGTCACCGGGTGAAGTTTTAGATAAAAGAAGAGAAGCATTAAGGTGTAATGAGAGGGGCTGGATATGCCCCCTATTAATGTGAGGTCCAAATGGCCACCAAATGGAAACCCATTATAAGACAAATTACTTCTCTCTCTCTCCGTCTTTTATTTTTTAAAAATGGGACTTTTCATAAAATCTTGATCAGACTTCCTTTACCGTTTAACCAGACAAAAACCGGTCACTGCATCATCTCTGTGCTTAAACCGGGGGCCTCATCAGTGATCTTTTTCACATTTTCTTGACAATGTAAATACCAGCAGTCTAACCCGAGCACAAACAATAAAAGAAATAAATAAAGCACCGTCAGGAAGAGCCTCGCCTGACACACTGCAGGTTCGGCCGGGGTTTTCTGGCGCTGCAGTCTATTTGTTTGACGCCGTTATTAGTTTCCACACTGGAGGGATGTGTAGGAGAGAGGTGATTTCAAGGTGATTATGAAGTGCAGCTTAAAAGCAGGCAGATGGTGCGTCTGCTTCCAGAACAGAGCAGCAGGACCAGCAATATCCAGCCAAATGTGCAAAAACATCAATCTTTTCCCGATAAGATGGGAAGATGAGCCCTGGCGAATAACGCTACCGCCTCGTGAATAAAAGCTTGCTCTGGGGGGGAGGTACCGAAACATTTACATGTGTAGAGAGGTCGCACTTCACCTCCATGTGGGACTCCTCTGAGACCTAAATATGCTTTTTTTTTAGAAGATCTCCTTGCGCCCTCACACCAGCTTAATATTATCAGGAAAAACTTCCCTCTTTGGAGAAGCTGGAGAGGATTCATAAATATGAAATCTCAGCTTTCTGAGGAAGAGACCTTTTAACATTGACAGGATGCTCAAAGATTAAACTGCATAAGAAAAAACTGTTACGCAAAAGGTTGTTAAAATGACAGTGAGTTAAAAAAACAAAAACATTTTTTAAGTCTAGGATTGGAAAACTGGAACCTGAGATTAACCATATGTCCATTAAGGTTTCGGCTGTTTCCATTATCTCAGCTTTAGCTTTTCAGGCAGCTTTAAAACTTAGATACCCTCTAGGTTAGCAGTTAGGGCTAACAACGTCTTACAAACACAGTTGGAATCGCTCCCCTTCAAAGTATTTACACGCCATTTTCCTCTCCCTTGGATCTGCCGGCTGCAGTCTGGAGACGCGTGTGGGTGTCGTCTATTCTCCTGAGGTCTGATTGCAGACTGTCTGTATGAGATTAGGAAGGGAGTCGTCCCTCGATATCAGCATGCTGTTCGGCTTTCTGTCACGATCCGACCGGGAGAAAAGTGGTTGGAGTGCTTTATTGCTTCCTCCTTATGATTACGCCTGAGCGTCAGGTACAGGGCGAGGCACAAACGGGGATTATGTCTATTCGGCAAAAAGCTCCGCTTTTTAACCTCTCTTTAGGGGGATGTAAGAACGGGGGTGGGGATAAAGACTGAAGTACAACTAAATCTATTGCGGAGCGATGTGACTGAGCAGCTCAGAATGGTATTAAATATTGTGCTGGAGCCACAGCATGACTTCACACATCAATGCAAACACACGCGTAAGCACACCCAAACTCAAGCCTCACTCCCGGCGTCAGGGCGTGCGTCACAGCCCATCACAGAAGGCCGCCTCACCCGCAGTGGCACCGCGAGAGGCTTTCAGGACTGACACAGCAGCAAAAATGCCAACCGGCGACAACGTGGAGTGGTTCAGAAAAGCCCTTACTCAGCAGTTTGGCTCTCAAACATGACAGGAATCCCTCACTTTGAATAGCTCGTCTCCTTCCACGCGGACGGGTGGTGCTTCCCAGATAGCTTCTCCCTGAGGACGGGAAATCAAGCAAATGCCACCCTCCGGTAACTCAGAACTCTGCGTTTGAGTCGTGAATCATCCGGCCACTCTGAGATTAAAAAGCAGAGCCGCGAGCCCCGCCGGGTTTTTCCCCTTAAATCTCACGCCTTACTCTGAAGTCGAGACAAACGGCTAATTGGCAAACGCCACGGCGGCAACAGGAGGCCGCGGATTTTGGCCTTGAGGGAGAGCTTCACAGGCCGACCTTTGACCCCTCTGGAGCTGCAGGGATCGGGCGTTTCCCGACGCGGTGACGGACACAGAAAAGAAAAGACCAGCCGTGTTAGTCCACACCTCCCCCTGGGACCTACGGAGGCATGACTCTCAGCGTTTCATGACGATGGAGACAATAATTAACACTCGGCTGCTGGATAACCAATGCATATAGCTAATTCATAGCTAATGAGAGGTGATTTTCCTTTTTTCCAGTGTTAAAAAGGTGTTGCTGGTGGACTCACAGTGCTGCTATGGCTCTGAGGCAACTGCTCCAAAGTGATATGTTAAGTCTGCTAACTGCCACTTATGGCGGTTAATGAATTTCAGGGGGTTCTTAAAGGCGCTCCCCTTCCACACCAACCTCTTTTTAACGCTCCCGGTGACATATGGAGATTTGCTCGCCGAACCAGCTGCGAGCCAAATTGGATTCAGGCACAATGGCTGCACACCTCAGAGGACCCTGTCCTGCTTAAGTGATTTACTCCCTTAAGCTTAGCTGAGCCTGTCCTGTAATTACAGGAAATTGAAAGAGGCCGTCGGTCCAGGAGGCGGCCTGCTCTCCGGCATTTCAGGGCGCCAATAAGGGCACATACGAGCGATGGCCCCGAGGAAGCCGCCGTCCCGAGGGAAAGGATGCTGCACCCCCCAAGGAATCGAGCTGACGCGACGCTTTAAAGAAGCGACTCCTAGCGGTCGATCTGGAGTCAGCATCCGAGTAAGATGTTGCAAAAGTACTATCAAGCGCTAAAAATGAATAACCAAAAAAACTCAATTAAACAACAAATTTCTTACAAAGCAGGCACTCCTTATCTCCTTTTTCCCAACTTCCCATGTCTATATTTGTCCCAGTCTCCTTTCCCAGAAGCTCTTGCACCTCAAACATATAAAACAAAAAAAAAGGTTTATTCTGAAGAAATAGATAGGAAAATAGCTAATTAGGTAAAATAACTCCATAATGACTAAAGCATAGTAGGAAATGATGTAATCATTGCGATTATTACAAACTGTTTTTCTTGTCACAAGCTAGACACAGCAGGAGATTTTTGGCCTTCTATAGCTGAGACGACACCAGCAGGCGGTCTCTGCTCTCCCTCCTATCACCGGTCAACAAAGACAGAGGTGGATTTCTAGTTTTAAAAAAACAAAACAGCTTCTCAGCTTTAGCGACTGATTCGTGCCTCCATTGATTATGCTGTCACTTCTTGACCAGAGACTTAGAATGCACGACATGGATGAAGGAGGAGGGATTAAACATCGAGCTAAATCTGCAAGTCCGGCTGCTGGTCCCCACAACAATATGACAGCATCTGCTCCTGCGTACGGAACAGAATGAGAGGGGCGATTCCTGAAAAAAAGAAAGAGGAGACTCACATCCAAGCAACCAGAAGGACTTGGATAGAATCCCTTATCCGAACACATTGCATAAACTGGGATGTATGCAATTACCGGGTTGCAATTACTTATACTGCATATAATTATTTATTGTAATTCAGGAGCACCAAACGGATCAAACTGGACTGACTTGGTTCTAATCTGAGCTCATTTCCTTCGCAGACATCTTGCAGGCTGTGTTGGCCCAGAATGTAATCATCAAATATTCTCTCCAACACCAGGTTTCAAACGGGTCGTGGAAATGAAAAGCACTGATGTTTGATTACTTATTACTGTGGGTTCTGTTTTCTTTGGCGTACTTGAAGACGACAGGTTTTTCTGTTGGAGTGCAAAGTGTCTGAAAGGACTCACGGTCCGTCTTTTTCCATCATGAGACTGAGAAATCAATATGAGAGGATGTAATTACCGTTTTGATAGGTTATAATAATCTGAAACTGTTAGGTCTAAATGAGCATTTGATAAGATCCTTTGAAACTATAAAGCAACATACAGCTTATTGTCTGCATTTTCAAGTTCTAAAGTGATGGGGGCTATCGGATTCAGATCTGAGTTACAAATATGTTTTTTATGATTTACTGGTGTATGAATATGTAATTTACTCAAATCAGCTTTTCAAATGCTAGTGGGTGAAAAAGAAACTTGAGGAAAACAATCAAAAACAACATTTTTTTTGCCTAATCGAAGGCATAAAAAGGAGAGATCCAACTACACTGTGATCAATCAGAATTTGCTGGTGTCAAATTTACTCGGCCTCCTTCGCCTGGCTCCTCCACACAGGTGAGAGGATGAAAAACGACATGAATCCTGGAAAACACTGGAATAGTCACTCCTAAGACCAAATGTGATCGGTAAAAGGGCGTAGAAGTAGGATCGGTGAGGCTGTGTAACCCGGACGACAGGTCAGTTAAAGTGTGACTGGGTGACCCAGCAAATGAAAGTGAGGGAAATGACAAAGGAGCCAACAAGTGTGGGGGTGACAGGTGAATGAGTGAACCAAACCTGCTGCAAAAAAGGCCTGCTGCACACCTGGTGCGCGCAGGCGACGCCTCACCTTTTGCTCTTTTGGGCGCTCTTCTTGTCCCGTTTGTTCATCACCACGGGCACGCAGCTGGTCAGCTCCGTCCAGTCCGCGTGCAGCCCGCAGCTCCAGCCCGTGGAGAACCGGGAGAAGAGCCACGACTCGGCTCTCCCGGGCCGGTGGCAGGTGCACTTCCGCTGGCCGGGCATGCAGTCGCAGGGCTGCTCCAGCTGGATGTTCTTCACCAGGTGCCTCCCGAACGTCGTCCCGCCCGTCTTCTGGATGTGGAGGAACACCATCACGTCGTCTCCCCGGATGTTGAAGTCGACCTGCCGGTCCAGGTCGCGCTCCGTGAAGTTGAATTTGGACGTGATTTTGCAGGAGGCGTCCTCGTCCGCCTCCGGCTCCGGGTAAACTAACTCGAACCCGGAGGAGTACTGCTGGAAAAGCCCCTTGTCGTCGCTCCTGAAGTAGCAGGTGTTGCTGTCCGCCGGGCACACGTACTGGTAGCCGATCATGAGGAAGAGAACCGCGGCGATGGGGATGAAGAGGAGTCTGTTGAACTTCTCCTCCATGGTGGACGACTGTCACTCACGCCGCGGGCGCGAACCTGAACGTGATGGCCGAGTCTCTCCGGTCTTCTCTCATCCTGCAGGCTCCGGATCAGGTCTGCGGCGCTCCCGTGGTCCGAAGCTGGAGCTGAAGTCCCGACAGGGACATGTCCAGTCGCAGGAAGGGGCAGTTTAGGCTGGCCCTCCTCTTACACCATAACACTCCACTTCTTCTCAAACTTGAAGCCCCCCCACCCCCCACCCCACCAACACCACCAAACTGATATTTTACCCAAGTTACTTGAACATGCACCTTGTTTAATAAGTCAAAGCGCGTGCATAAGTCCCGGGCAATGCCGACTTTCGACGTGCCCGCATCCCGGTGTGTGGAGCGCTGCTCGGGGGTCGGCTGTCCTGCCAATTGCTGATCGGTTTCTGAGCCAGGAGCAGGAGCAGCAAGGTGGACGGAATCATAACCAGAGCTTCTGGTGACGCCTTTCAAAATAAACCAGAGCTTAAACCGTTCTTTACGCACGCGTATTTGCGTTTCGAACCACAGAGCTCTATCACTTACGCACCAGATAGGACGTGCGTAATGCCTTTCACAGATTTGGGTTACAAGCGACTGACACTTTTACTGACTATATGGTAGACCTGGGAACATTTTCGACGAGAATTCAGGACAATTGGGATCAATTTGCATCTCGCTCCACTTTTGAGTCCAAATTCCATGTGCAAATGCATTTTTCCACCTGCGACATGATCTGCGAAATGATCTCAACTTGTGCCAATAAAGTCACAAATAAAGTAACAACTTGTCAATGATGCTTATTCATTTGGAAAATCTCATTCTTAGTTTTACGCTTCACTCGCAAACCGTTATTATAGCTATTATACCCTGGGACACACATTTGTACTATTAGATGCTCTTTAAAAAAGGTTGAAGTATTTTTCCCAAGTCCTAAATGGAAACATTACAAAGGTAAAGTAGCAGGACCTTCATGGCCATTCGTTGGACTCCAAACGGTTCTTTTTTTCTGAGTGTTGGATATCTTAGAGCAAAATTCTATATGCAGGGAAAACAAAACCTACCAATTTGGAAAATTAACAAAATAACCGTTTTAGAGAACTGGATGTGGTTCGCTGTGGTCCAGTTCTTTCAGAATCACAAATAAATGAACCAACGTGGAGTAATTTCAGCACCATGTTCTACCTGAGTCTGTAATGGGGTGGTCATGGCCTATTTCAAAGGGAAATCTGCTCATGAGTGCACACCGAGTGTTTTTGTTGTTGTTGTTTTTTGTATGTTTCTTCTTACCTTTTATTGTGAAGATGGACCTGCATAACTTCCTGGTTTGATCTGGATGGCTTGTCTCAACATCTGCGCCAGTCATCTGTCCCGGCTGCCCAGCCTGTGACGCAACCGCTTTTCTAATCACACACACACACGCACACACACACACAAATGCTCCAGCCAAAGAGTTCCGGAAAAAGAGACCAAACACAATGCTAGAAAGCAGGAGAAAGTCGAGAGAATTAAATCAGAGAATGAATTATATAGAAATGGGAAGCTGAACTTTTGTGAATGACTCATATTTTAATGGTATTTTTAGATGATTTACTTCCTCTTATTCTTGGAAACATACCCCGTCCTGATTATACAGTAAACCTCGCCTCCTGAGCATTCAGTAGTCATTTAGTAGTCCTTATGTGTTAAGGTTGTGTTTTAATATGGCTCCACTCGCTCTCTGCTGTGCACATGCGAAATACTTTTCTCTTGAATCTGATGGGGATTCCCACAGCAATTACAATCAAAGCCCCCCACAGAGAAAAGGGCTGTAACCTCAATGATTTCTGCTTCTCCGAAAGAGTTAAATCCTCGAGCGAGCTCGAGTGGAGTCATTTCAGCACCATGGACAGATTCCAACGTGCCAAAGTCAATAATTGGCATCCTGTGTGTGAGGGAAATGTGTGAGAGCGCACTCCGTCATCGTCCCACATAGGTTTTCCTTTACCATGGATACTGATCGGCTGTGGACACCGGACGGGGCAGGGCTGAGATCTGCATCCACTCTGCGGACACCACAGCCTGGAACGAAAAGGCATTTTTGTCCTCGGTAATGGATTTCCTTTAAGCCTGCCCCTGATCAAAAGCTTTTGTTATTTTGCCTAAGATGCTCTCCATCAAGGGATTTAGCCAGGGTGCACTCTGGTATGTATTGTATCCAATCCTCTTTCCGTGCTGCATGCACTCTGGCCTCTCGCGCTGACATTGACTTAATCTGCATGGGAGTTTAGTCTGTGGCTCCCTCTCTCTTTGTGTCTGGGAGGAGGCATCATCTCTCATCCCTAGGAGGAGCCTGAGGTGCACGAGAGGACTAGTGGTAAGCTTCAGAAACTAGAAAACGTCTCATTTTGTAAAAGGTCAGAGGAAAGTGAGCTGCTCAACATTTGTGTTTTTTTTTGCCCCCGTTTTTTTTTTTCTTTTGCCCTTTTATTGCTTGTGAGGATAACATCTGTTGTCAGCATGCTCTTTACCTGCACGGCCTGTGCCAAAACTGACTTATTTGCCAAAGGAAGACCTTTTCCTCACATGGCTGGAATATTAAAATCTGAGCCCTGACCTAAAATAATTGGTATTTACGTCAACAAGGCCTGTGTTGCTCTGGCTTTGCATGGGGGGGGGGGGGGTATTTACACGGCCCTCTGATGCTCGCTGCACAGGCCTCCTGAGAAACCACTACTCAGAAAGTGCTGAGTCAGCTGACTGTAGAGATGTAAAGGACTCCCAGTAATGGGACTGAAGCTTTGTGAATATGACAATGGGATTGTTTTGGGATTCCTGTTTATCTGTTTTGGCCCTTTTGGTTTTAAGCACGTGCTTTTAGAATTAGATGGAATCAGAATTTACCTCAACGTGATGTTTAGAAGCGAGGGGAAACTTCTCTTCACCCGGCAGAATAGACCAAGAAAGGGAGGTAGGAACTAAGTGAGGCGAATGGAACATAAACTTTATGCTTTGGGGGAGAAAAAAACAGAAAAAAGGTTGAACCTTTAAAATTAAAAATTAAAATGGTAGTGGACTGATAAATGCAGTTGCAGTGTCATTTTTGAAAATGTGATCTAAAAGTTTGAGACCATTTTTACCTGTTTTTGAATAGTTACTCTGGTTAAGTAGGAGTCTTTAAATGGAAATAAAACACATACTTCCCAGAAGATAAAGATAATAGCAGCAAAGTGAGTGTGGAAGTCACAAGCAGAGCAGTTTGCCATCAGGAGCATTTTTCAATCCCTCTGTTGCCTGTTGCGTTTCCTCACAGAGAGCTCAGTTAAGAAGTAACAAGATAATTAGAATAAGAACCTGACGGAGTAGCAGCCTTGGCGTTAATAACCTGAGATTCTGAATGAACAGAATGAATGGGCGTGGGAAATGGATGTGTGGGTGAAATTCATTAGCAAGTGTTCAAACACCTGCAGATTTACCACTAATGAGCATGGATCCTTAATTCGGCTTTCATTTTGGCTTGACCACCAAGGGAAAGGGCAGAAATAAAAAGTTTGATCTGGTGTTATTCTAGGATCCTTTAAAAGACAAAATCAAACAGCAGGGAACAAAGGGGCTCTCCTGGTTAAAACTGTTTTTTTTCTCCTAAAAAAAATCTTTATCCAGCTCATTCAGTATTAAGACTCAAATGATCTGAAACAGACATTTTGGGGGGTTTCTTTTGGGGTCCTGTGTTGTGACAAACGTCTTCTGATGACTGAGCCTGAGGCGGCAGATTTCATAAAAAGAAAATGTTTGAAAATGTACAAATATAACGGTTGTCATGGCGACACCTGCTCCCTTATCCTCGCCGGCTCGGTTTGCCTCCAAGTGCCAACCTCTTCCTTTCGTGCTATGCTTCACCTCACCACTAGCTGCAATCTGCCATCAGCTGAACTTCAGCTTCTCAGCGGCAGGCCGCATAACTGACGGGTCCTCTGATGTGGTCTGTCAGACTCTCTTGACTGAGATCTATAAACCTACAAATCATCTCTATGCACCAATAGGAGTCAATTTCACAACATCACCAAAACCAGAAGAAGAACATCACCAAACCTTGTCTGTCTTCAAGAAACTCTTGAAGACCCACCTCTTCAAAGAGCATCTCCTATCCTAACCCTAACCCGTACCTCTACCCCCCCACAGCTCCTTCTGTAGTCCCTCTACCTCTATCTCTATCTCACCACTGACTCTGATCAGTGTTTCTCCTCTATATAGCTTATTGTCATTGTGATGAGAAATGTAATATTGTGTCTACTCTGTAAGTCGCTTTGGATAAAAGCGTCTGCCAAATGCATAAACATAAACACAGGTAACCGTGACTATTGAGCTATCACCAAAGACAGATTAACGCCCCGTTTTGGTCGAAAGGCAGCAAATTGTTAAAGCTCCGCGGCCTTGAGTGGACTGGAGGCCTGCTGTTTTCATCTTCTTTTAAATGTAACTCTGTGCACGACACAGCTGAAGACTGTAACTATGAAGGGGTGTGTGCGGTGAGCGGCACTGTTCAGGTTGCCTCCCCCAGCCCAATTAGATTCCAGCCCCAGTTCTAATGCACTCTAGATAAAAACCCAGACACCTTTTTTGTCATGTACTTGAGCAGACATGGTCCAATAGAGAATGTACTTATGCTCAACCATACTAATGACATTAAGATTCAAAGCGGACCAACTCCATATATTTGTACCTTCCTCTGAATGGGCCCTTTAATCCACAAAAACAATCTGACAATAAACTGGTCTCTCCAATACATGTAAATTGATTATAACTGAATGCCACCAGACGGACATTTCTGACCTGAACTGAAGCCATCTTGACTATCTCTCACGTTTCCCTCTCACAGAATAGGAACCGCTGACTCGTCAGTGCCACAAGCTGCCTAACATGGGCTATTGTGCGACACTGGAATGCATTAATATCACATTAACTAATCCTCTGAAGCGCTAAAGTGGAGGTGGCCTACGTGGACCAGCAACTCTTG